GCTGCCATTTGAATAACGAAGTGACAGTCGATGGTAACAAAGAGCTAAAATGTCTACGTGAATATTTCAGGATGGGAGGGATAGACACATACCAGCACTATACCAGCGAGGATCGATCGTCCAGCCACACGAGCACGCTTTGGATTGGACGAAAGGTGGCTTCTGATTTGTCGACAGCATGTATACGCATTCATATCAACGTAGATGCATCCAATCGTCACGTGGGATCACTGTGCAATGGAAACTCGACACCTTCTTATCGCTATTAACGGAAACTTGAGAAGCCTCGCAGCGCCTTTGCGATGTTTGATGTCGCCATGGCCAATATCATGGATGGATGTCTAGAAAGATATAAATGCTTCCAGAGAAATAGAGAAAACAGTCAAGCACCGACAGAAGATACCCAATATGTCTAGCCATGTCTTCTTCAGTCTCGTTGCTGCGGTCGGCTTCACGCTCCTATATACTGTATACCGTCGCTACACGGCCATATCCATCTCGAAGGTGCCGGGACCGCCTGGATCGTGGCTTTTCGGTCAGGACTCATACGTTATCTTCACTTTTTAATTGTCCTTACCAAGCTACAGGGAGAGTGACAGACCTTTTGCGAGCAGACGTTGGCGGACTCCAGTTCGAATGGCAGCAACAATACGGTCCAGTCATTCGAGTCAAAGGGCCATTAGGCGTAAGGTGTCCGACTGGCCTATTGGAACATCGTCACTCACGCGTCTTGCAGGAAGACTTTTTGCTTGTATCTGACCCGAAGGCTCTGCAGTACATTTACCAGACAAGCGGCTACCGTTTCCCGAAGCCTTCGTTTACCAGAATTATTTTGGAAGTTCTGTCCGGCAAAGCGCTTTTCTGGGCAGCTGGTGAGTTTTCCCCTTCTATGGAGAAAGAAAAACACCAATAGATGTCCATTGCTGCTTGTTAGGCGAGGACCACAAGAGGCAACGGAAGGTCATGCTCCCTGCCTTCGGTGTCGCGGAGACCCGAGCATTCATCCCGATCTTCTTCCGCACCGCAGCGAAGGTGAGATCAGGGAAAACGTGGGTGTCGTGAGTCGTGACTGATGACGGTAGATGGCCTCACTGTGGCGCGATCTCATCGCCGAGTCAACTGTCGAAGACCAGTCCGCCGTTGTAGATATCCCATCCTGGGCCTCTAGAGGGACAATGGATGCTATTGGAGAAGGTATACCACTCCGTTTTGCCAACCAACGAATAACTTACGGATCCTCAAGCTGCCTTTGACTACCAATTTGGCGCACTTGACAACAGCGACAATGCGTTGGCGGAGGCTTTCCGAAATACTTTGTTCGTTTTCTTCTGGGGTGATTACCGCAACGAGCGAATGCTGATGACATAAACAGCAACGACGCCTTCTCAAAGCCGACGAACGTCGTTATCCTTGTAACCAGTATCTTCCGCATGATGCCTGATTGGCTCGTGCGCATGATCCTCCTCTACGCCCCGATTGCGCGGTTCGAACGATGGATGAAAGCCAAACAGATTTCTGAGGACATGACCAAGGATCTCATCCGCGACAAGGCGGCTGCGCTGCTTCAAGGACAAGGAAATCGCGACATCATGAGCCTGGCCGTCAAGGCCAACGTGTCGACAGATGCGAAGATGATGCTCACTGACGTAGAGCTTGTTGACCAGTTGAGGTGAGTTGTCGCATGCAGTTCCGAAAACGGTGTGTGACTGGATCTTGGCTGCTACTAGAAATATCATCTCTGCCGGTCACGAAACGACCGCAAACAGCATTACATGGACGCTTTACGAGATAGCCTGCCACCCCGAATACCAGCAGACACTGCGAAAGGAAATCCACGCGAAAGAACTCGAGGTTCGCAATCGCGAGGATAATATGATGACGGCGCAAGATTTGGAGGACATGCAGTTCCTAAACGCTGTCATAAAAGTATGTGTGCCTTGTCAAGTATGTTTTATCACGCAGGGTAGGCTGAAACGATCTTCACCTTATAAGGAATCTCTGCGATTCCATCCGACGGCGCCGATCATCAACCGGTGCTCAATTGCAAACGATGTTTTACCGCTGTCTGTTCCAATAACGCTGATGACCGGCGAAGTGATCAACGAACTCCCGATTCCCAAGAGACAGAATATTCTGGCGTCTGTCGCATCTTACAACAGGTAAGCCTGATTCTTGATAACATGGAAGAAAAGGGAAAGGTTTACGAACGAGGGCGCTGCAGATTTAAACCTATCTGGGGCGAGGATGCGCACACGTTCAATCCTTACCGCTGGTTTCGCCCGGACAGTGGAACAAAGGAAACGAAACTCGGCATGTATGCGAATGTGTGAGTGGACGAAAACCTTTCAAACCACGGGCAACATTTGACCGCGACACAGCATGTCTTTCTCGGCAGGACTGCAAGGCTGCCTCGGTTGGAGAGTCGCGTAAGGACCATTACCAATTACCCAATGACGGTTGCTTAGTTCATTACGCAGGATGTTGGAGCTCCAGACGTTCCTTATTGAACTTATCGGCAACTTTGAGCTAATCATGACGCCCGAATCCCATAAAATCCGGCGTCAGGCATCGGTGGTCATGACGCCTGTCGTAGACGGAGAGCGGGAGAAGGGAGCGCAACTTCCGTTGCTCATCCGGGTCGTGACACGTGACGAAGAATGAACATCTGAACAGCCGCTGGACTCAATGGCTTCACTCACAAGATAGTTTTAGTATATTTCTTTATAGAAAAAGAAAAGTCAACATAGATGGTAGAACCTTTAAAGATACGAGGTTACCTAGGACAAAGTTGACGACTCCGTGAGAAAGATTGAGGGCCTTGAGGAGAGGATTACCAAACGAATTAAACGTTGATGCGAAAAATAACGTGCACGCGGCAAAACTTGAGAAGGGCTGTTAAGAGTACAGCAATGGATGAAAATGGCGGCTACCACTCCCATATTTATTTAGACACAGTTCGCTGTCCGGCGGAACCATGTCAAGCATGTCGAATACGACAATGTTATGATGGTTCCATTCGAACCAGATTGCGCGAGCAATTGTCGTTAAATGTGGTGTCAAAACACAGGACTACCCCAAGCAGAGCGTCGGTGGTACCGAAAGAAGCCAGAAACTACATGGATCTGCCTGACGGCATTGAAACATATGTAGACCGTCGAAAGAACAAGAAAAAATCTAAAGGAACGGAGAATACCCCAAGGCGACATCGGCTTTTACTTCGAACAAGCTCAAGGCCGTTATTAGTATCATTTCTTCTAGACATTGAGATGATTGGACAGGTATAGCTCCGGGTATATTCCTCAGTCGAAGCCTGCTATGTAGGACGAGTAGGGCCGATTTCTGAATGAACACAATCGCGTTTCCCGCTCTTCGGCCAGGTAGTAAAGGGTTCCTACATTGCAAGAGAAAAGATCCAATAGCCTCGTGTTCTCTAATATCGACGAAACAAAATAAGTGCACGATATTTTTTGAACAAAAAGCAGTGAACCAAAATCAGGTAGATGAATGACTCATCAGAATGACTCATAAGATGGTTGCGCCAGGTCAGGAATGTGAATGTTCTTTCTCGCGTTCGTCTCTGCGCTTGCTTCTCTGTTTCGATGTGCGAAAGAAAGAAGAACGAAGAGAGATGCTCTACCTATGAATGCGGAACCACTTACGCTGATCTACGAGTACTGTCACTGCGAACAGTTCAGTGCTGAAGCGCTGACTGTTCGCAATCTCGGATAATTCTGACGTTCCACGTTTCCTCTCCCTCGTCTTGTAGTGCCGCAGGACGATGTTTGGGTGATGCTCTTCCCTAGGCTCTAGCCTGTACAGCCTCTGTGTTTTGTCGAATAAAGTTGTGATGTATTGCGGCCAAGTTTCATCAATCACAGCGGACATCTCAAACGCAGCAAAAGTATCATATTCAAAAGGCGCGCTGGCCTTTGCATGAGCTTGTCTTCTATCCATCGCTGCTGGTCAGCCCGACCGCGAACACAATCCTTCCTGCTGGACAGAAGCTCTGCTGGTCAGAGAAACGACCAATCTACATCTTTCGTCATGAGGTTATTAACTGTGCTGTCTCTGGGAACAGCGCTGCTCTCCGTCACGTTGGCAGCTCCTACAGAAGTGAAGAAAGAGGTATTTATTTTCGCTTCTTGTGCATTTAATTCGACCAGGCTATCTTCACTTGTTCTCCAGATTATTGTTAGGGCGCCTGAAGCAACGAACCCGTCGGACGTTCGAAGTCTTGAACGTCCTATCAGTGTCGATATTCAGAAGTCGCTAGTGACATCTTCGCCTCCGGTGACAGCAGAAAAATCGGGCTCCCGCGACGCGGAAGGCCATCATGAAGCAGAAGCGGTGTATGAGAAGCATCTATCTCACCATCGTCACCAGCCACACCACCACCATCACGACCTGTACCACGACGTAGAAGGCACTCGACACATGCATCCGCACCGTCCGCACCTCCACCATTACCACCGTTATCATCATCACCAGCCACACTGCCATCATCACCATCACCATTGCCACCGCCCCCACAAATACCGTTTGCATGGACACCGCTTGTACGACCATGGTCCGCACTTCCCGCATGACGAATACCATCATCATGAACATCACTATCCCTACCGCCCTCATCGCCATCACCATTTTGACGGCAGTTTTCATGTCGCGCATGACCTCCATCATCCCGACATGCAGCGTGTTGGGCATTTCCATTATGACCCCGACTCTGACCGTCACCGAGACCAAGGCGCTCGACAGCGATTAGGCCACCATCTTTTCCTGCCCCATGAGTTCGGGTATTGACCACTTGCTCTACATCATCCTCGCGACGGACTCCTACATTGTAACTTTGAGTGGTTATAATTGTGAATACTACTGTAGTGCACCTCTCTCGTCGCACATTCAATGAGGCTGTGTTTCAATTTGATAGAACTTTGAGTGATCATATATATAAAGGGATCTATTTTTTTTTTCGGGGAAAAACAGACAAGAAAATAACGCTATTCGGATACGGGGAATCGAACCCCGAGCTCGCGCGATACAATATCACTGTTCAGAATGAAAGGCGCGAATGTTAGCCGTTACACCATATCCGATGAATTAGACTCAGTCTCTCTGCGATTTGAACTTTTGCATGTGCTTATGGAAACCCACTTTTTACTTAAAATCCCAAAACTCGCACAGAAATCTCTAGGCGAGAAAATACATAAGCCACCTGAAAGTTGATATATTGATACTGTCAGCGGCTTATGGATGGAAATCAAAAGTCATGAAAGATTGTATTAGAGAACAGCGCACTAGTCGCATATGCACCTACATGGTCAGGCTACACAGAGACTCCATGTTTCTGGAAGAACGTTACCACACACCAAATAAATACCGCAAGAGCATCCTTTCATTTGCGCACTTAGTTCCATTGCGCAGCGACACGTTTCGTGAACGTCAGGAATTTCCAGAACCCAACGGCGTATTCGACCGTTCCGTACGGGTCCACAACACGCTCGGGAAAGGCGATGCCGGTACCATATAGTCCAGGAATCCGCTTATCGGACGGACCTGAAGCACCCGCATAACTAAACGCACCTGTTTCGTGATCAAACACGGGCTCAATGGATGGACCCTCCCCATCTCCAGACACGGATTCGTGTAACAAGGTCGGTATCGGATCGCGCTTGAAACCAATCGCCTGTATCACGTAATCGCACTGCGCAAGCTCAGCATCGTAGGCCGCACGCTCCGCTTCCTCTGTATCGCACAAATGCTTGGTTACAATGCGGCCCACGCCACCGGCATCCGCATTGTCCACACTCCCCTGTGGTAGATTTTCGAGGTGCTTGCGTGCCCACTCAGCTGCCACAAGCTTCAAGCCAGTGCTATCGCGAAGAATCCACCCATCAGGGTGTTCGGGGGAAGGGGGCATGTACTCGGCATAGCTCAGCGCATGTCGTGCGAACCAGTCGACGCGCAGGCGGGGATGTGTGCCCTCTTGTGCGAAGGCACATAGACTACGAATAACGAGGATAGCGCTGTGCGAGGCGCCGACGACACCAACGCGGCGTGTATGGGTTGGAAGCGCTGCTGCGAGCTGGGAAGGCGAGAGTGCAACATCAAGGTGCACAGGAGTCGGGCCTACGACTGGTACTGGGACCGCGATTGGCGAGGACCCAGTGCAAAGGATGAGTCGCGGCGAGGTTGCGAGATGTGGTCCGTTGGCGACTTGAGGGGAGATGTAAATAGTCCAGCTGGACGCCTGAAATTACGAGTGAGAAAGGATACAGATGGGTCAAGCGAAGGGGGATGACGCACTTCCGAGTTCAGGACTGCTTTCTCCACGGTGCCCATACACGCATGCACATCCGGGCGTGCGACCAGCCCCTTCGTGAGCAGACGGCATGTGTCCCCGGCATAAGCTAGCTCGCAGCCCCTTTCTGGGTCCATAGAACGCATGTGCGATACTGCATGTGGCTCAGGATGCCGGGAAACAATGTCACGTAGGATAGGAACCGCTTCTGCGAAGGCAACGAAGAGTTTCACTTTTGTGTTGCTGTTGAGACAGTGAGGCGTTGTTGTCGTTATCTCGTGTACGACATCATTCACCTTGGCACCTCTCGGTACAAGTTTATTCTTCCACCGTCAAATGCACGGTCGACCCACAATATAGGCCCAACTTGGCACGCGAGCAAGTTGCCAACAACAGCAATGCCGCCTGGTCCAGCACCGACCACCACAGCGGCGTACTTATCGAGAGAATGGGAAGACATGGTCAAGCGACGACGGGTGAATAGACAGGAGAATGATTGACGGATAGCGCGGCCACTTTGAATGATATGTCCGTACACGATGGCGAGGAATGCTTTAAGCTGTGAGCGCACTTATAAGTAGCAAACAACTTACCACTGTCACTAGGAGCAATATACTTCATGAATGGCGCAATAGATATACGCAGGCGATGGCCGAGTGGCCAGACGCTTCGGACCATAGGAATTCGGAAATGGGGCAGGGCGTGACGTGAATTCGGATTTCGGGATGCGTATCCCGTTAGGCCCCCCGACCTGATTCTGTAAAGCCACATATGAGACTATCGAGATGCGAATATTATTTCCCATTCAAGGTTGAACAGTATGCTAAGAGTAGTAGGTACGCAGCAAAACGTTGAGCAAGAATCCCCGAGCTGCGATCAAATGACTCATTGTTCGAAATATCGATCGTCGATCACCATCCGAAAACAGCAAGTAAATTACCCGATCAAGAAGGCATCGCGGTCACGTGTATGAGAAGCTGTGTCCTGAATCAGAACTCAGAGCAATATTCCTCAACCAATACGTCCCATCTGAAAATCTACAACAACAGTTGTTCAAGCACTTTGTGCGATGTCCACTCCGATTCCTGCCTTTCTATGATACGACCTGGTCAATGCGGACAGACTCGGGCGATCTAGAATTTCAGTCTTGAGACTCAACATGGATGCATCAAATGCAGCAGGACTTAGGGCGTCCATATAACCACACATTACCGAGACGCCAACCAATTTATATTTATCTGGGAAGGATGCTCTTCATTTCAGAGTTATAAGTAGATAGCAGCCATTCAAATACTTATTCATGTTCCATGTACATACTTAGTACTGAACTCGTTTGCATGAGACAAACGAGAATACGCCTTCTTCGTCGTTTTGACCGTCTTCCCGCCTGGTGCGTTTCCGCATGTTTCCAACAAAGATTTATCCTGTAACGATGGCCAGCCTGCGTCAACTATGCGTAGTCCTTAAGTAAACATTGCCGATTTTGAGAAGCTTATTGAATCCGAACTTGCATTCGAACCGACGTCCAACCACGTGGTTTGACGAAGATTTGGAACTTGGAAGTGCAGCTTGTCTCGCGCCATCGTGTATATTTTTCCTACCAAGCGGACCTGCGATTCGGACTCTAGGAATGAAATACGATCTCTAATATTCAGTACTCAGCATGTGCTCCCGCCCTCATGTTTGTCGGTTACTTCCCGAACGCGTCCTTCCCCAGGTCTTAATGCCAGTTCCGACCTGTACTGTCTTGCGGGTACTCCGTCAAACCGATCATGCACCAACTGGAACTTTGAATATCGTCTTGAAAGACTTTATCGTAAATATGAACTGAGGAAGGGACTTCTTGCGAGCGACATTCTGGAAACAATCCTTGTTCGACGTCATGGTCTTCCACGAACTTCATCCCTCTTTCCATACACATGTCCGTCCATGATCAGATAGGGGATATAACATAGTCGTGTTGACGCGACTTATAGGTGGGCCGACTACTACTCGCGGAGAGGTACTCGCTCGCTCGTCTTCATGTCTCTTCATTCGTTTCTCCGTAGGGACTTGTAACGTCATGCAGTGTGCAGTGCCTGGAGCGACAGTGCAGTTGCTGCTGCAATATTAAGGGGTTCATATCGCTGTCTCTGGACGCTGTTGACAAACGCGCAGCCATCGATATCGTCATAGTTTTGTTTGTGGACGTCCTGTCTATCGATCCGAAAACAAAAACCATTATGGAGGGGCTTGTCGAAAAGGACCAGAATTGGGCACTTTATCAAGGTCAGCTACGAAAGACGTCGTCGGTCCCTTATCGGTGAGCTCATGGCTGCGCATTCGGACACCTGCGTTGCGCTCATAGGCTCAAATCATCGTAGTGTCTTTGGTGATGTTGGGAAGACGTCCCACGGTTGACTTGATACATGTGAATGCTCACCTACGGTGCGTCCCGTGAACACTTACTCGTTTCGGGTACATCTAGGACGCTTGAAGGTTTGCCTACGCTGGTTACTGTTAGATTGTTCGTACGCTCGATTTTTCTGGTTGGCTCATGCTGATGATCGCCTGTTAGATTTGTGGAGGTTTGCACCTGCTGAGGGATTTCGTTGAATGCAGGGTGTGTCATGCGTTCATTGTCGTCCACCGTTTGGTTCGTGCGTTCGAGCTAACCTGTGCATGTGGTAACTACGGCGTAGCAGAGAATTGAACAATGTCTGATCAACGGTGGAGTCTTGCCGCAAAATGCAGGTTCACGTGTAACAAGACGAGAAACACGATCGAACAGCCCAGTCAAACCTACATAGAGGCTTCAACATGATTGCCCGAAGACGAATGTTTTTTCCACGAGTCAACTGTCATCTCTGCAGAGGGTCCTATCTGCGTTACCAGCAAGGTATCAAGGGTGCTCCCGGTAGTCCATCTTCCTGTATCGAAGATATCCTGACTATGCAGGTCCTCGTCGATGTTTCTATGTCCTTCAGCCAGGCAGGCTCTTTTCGGTTTTAAACTGTTTTGAATGGCTTCAGCAGTAACACAGCAAGCGAAAATTGTTTGTTACCTCACGCTTTGCCCATTTCCGTGCCCGCGCATTGCTGGCCAGTGGTCGGAATGTCTCGATTAGGCCACACGCGCGTGATACGTGACCGTGTTTGGCACTTCGAGCCGGCCTGGTGTGTATCGGCGCACGGATGCATCGACTGATCTGAAAGGCCGTCGGTGGCTTAAGTGCACCTCTCCAGCTTTTTCTCCACCTCCACATATCCCGGCTTGTCCTGAGCATACACCTGCACGCCTCGACCTAGACGTCAAGGCGTTGGCACAAGCACAACTACAGTCCTCTTTCATTTGCTCATTTCTCTTTTCGATAATTTCACCGTCGTTTCTCACCTCAACGTCATCTGTGGTCATGTCTGGAACGACCAGTACTCTCGCGCTCGTTAGTACCTTGTGTATGGTCATTTGGGGCCTATTGGCTTCTCTCTTCTCCTCTGTCCTCCTCCCGGGCCTCGCATCCGGTGAGTGGCATTTCCTGTCTACGATGCGAACTTGCCGCCTGATGTGTTGCTCAGCACCCCATTGCAACTTTCCTATCATCAACGTGCTCTCTTGGACTGCCATTGTGGGCCTCATCTATTTCGTCAACGCCGTCGTGTGGCTCAACAGCTACGCCGACTTGTCGCCCATCTGGTCCCTCATCTGTGCGTCAATCCGCGTTCAATCCACCGCGTCGCCGTTCACGTGGTCTCTGACGCGTCCTTTCTTCAGCTGCCCATATCATCAAGGGATACACCATGGCTGTGGCAGCGGGCG